GGACACAAAAAACCACGTGGCGTTGCAAGCTTTCGCTTTCTGCAACGCGATGCCACCAAGCTTCAGCGGGGGCTTGGCCAAAACCAGCCACCTGCGGCGAAGGCACGGCAAGCAATGCCTCGTTAACAGCCATGGATCGGTGGAAAAAATATAGGAATCGGAGCCCCCGATTCCTGGTTGTGCGGAACCCCCGACTCCTGGGTGTGCTTTCAAAACGCAGGTTCTTTGTTTTCCCTACACCCGAAAGGGTACCCTCCCAAAAGGACACCTAAGTCACATATCAGATTGACCATAGTCAGAGACCCCTATTGACCTCTTGGCAATCAAACTGACCAGAACTTGAGGCGGCGGCGAAACCGCACCCATTTGGCCATGGGTCAAAACCCCGTTCCCCCAGTGAACATCCTAATTTCCACTAAATTGATTAAAATGGGTGGTGCACCTACCCCAAAATGGTATTCCATTGGTTTTGAACCACAGCCATTTGTGGCCAGGGGATTCTCCCGTAGCCGTCATCCAACCCCAGGATTTGAGCGGACGTGGCTCGGGCCTGGGCGTGATGCCGAAGTCCGAGAACCGAGTGTAGCCCCCCACCTCTGCTTCCAGTTGCTCCACACCCATGCGTTCACTGAGTCCGACTTTCTCTCGTTTCATACTTGGCCAACCATCAAAAATGTCTCTAGAGAGACCCCCAGCGGTTTCTTTCTTGCTTCATTTCCCTTACCCCCCCGTGTTTGGGAGCCGTTCCTTCTTCCAGATCTCCTCCCCCAACCTCTGGGACCCCCCCCCGCTTCCGCCAAGCCGCCGAGAACTGCCGCGGCTTGGGGTAGCGCGGGCGCCAGGCGCCCGGGGCGTACTCCACGTACCGCACCGTGGTGTCCAGGGCCGAGGGGGACTGGCTGATGAAGGTCAGGCACCTCTGAGTCTTCGCTTCTCTTCCTGTTTTTTTGTTGTTTGCTTGTTCCGAGAGGAGAAAAAAGTGGTGTGTCCAAGCTCTTTTCTTCATGTGGTTTGCTTCTTTTTTTTTAAACAAAAACCATATTGCGCTTGTGCCGGAGAAACAAAACGGGGTGGTTTGTTTTTGCGTGGTTTTCCCCTTTCCCCACCCAAGGATCGGTGGTTCTGTTTGTCTCGGGGGGGAAAAAAAACTGGTGGCTCCCCGCCCCCCCCCAAGAAGGGTCCTTAGAGGATCGCTTCTTTTTCTGGGCGAACAACCATCTCTGACTCTTACGGATGGATTACCACGTTGTGCTTGAAGTGGAAATCCCCATTTTGACCGGTCTTTGGTTTCTTGAGGAATCCAGTCACCCTGTTCTATCTTGATTCCATGTTGCAAGAAGAAAGCCCGGCGACTGGTACCAGGGAGCAAGGAACCACACCAGATGAACAACTTGTGAGCATTCCAGCCTAGGACCCCGAGCACCAGACGCTCTGGGGATATCTCCAACTCTGACTCGCGCGCGTCACCAGAAAAGGCGGACATGTTCGGACCAGTGCGTGTCAAAATTAGAGGATCCTCAAACTGGCGTCCTTTTTGGTTACCAAGGCCAACCTGAAAAGTTCCCGCTCAACGAAAAAGAAGCAACGACTCAGGAGGGCTGGCGAGAGTGTCCGCCCCTTGCGGCACGCACCGGGCGGCAAAAACACGGGTCCCGAAAAGAAGGGACATGTTTTTGGACCAACCCCCACAGAGGTGATCACATGACCACTCGACTTCGCGCGCGTTTCCGCAGCAAGCCGTTGCCCGAGACCGTGCCGCGGCTGAGGCGCCCTTCCGTTCCACAGACCTTGGCGAAGGATTTTTGCGGGCGAAGCTATGAACCTCTGCGGGCTCAACTGGCCCAACTGGATGTAGAATGGGGTTTCTCTCTCTCTCTCTCTGCCGTTGCGTTCAGAGGGTCTTGACTCAGCAAGGCAACGAAAAAGGTGCTCGCAGATCTTTTTGATATACCTGCTGCTGCCATGGCCAACCCAAGCGGTGTCCGACTCTAATATCTGGGGGTGCTTCTCCTTTCAGCCCGAAGGATGGCGTAAAGGCACTAAGCGGACCAAAAACAAGAATCCTCAGCACCAGGATTGAAGCATCACACCCACAAAACCCCATGAAAGAGCTGAATCCTGCACTTGAAACTGCTAGCTTCTTGCAACTTGTAGCACCTTCAGCCACAAGGCGCTCTTGGCAATCGCTTCATCCCAGAAGGTGTCCCAAGATACTTCCAACGTCTGTGTGGTTGCTTGTGGGTCACATTTCTCAGGACCCTTTAAGGTGGACATCAGTTAGGTGGGGATTTTCATGACCGCTAACCAAGGGGGGTCTAACCATTAAAATTCATAAGCTTGAGAACTCTCCCGTTTCGCCTTTATCCGGACACTGGTCGCGTTTGGAGGTGTTCTGGTGGGGCGGGCGGGCTCCCCCCGTCGCTCTTACCGAGTCCCCGCTTTTTGGCTTTCCAAGTTTCACTGGCCCCCCAAATCACTGCAAGTGTATGAGCCCAATGTACAGCGTCCTCGCGTGTAGAGATGTACATATATATATATATAGACGCATATGTATGATATGTATGTGTATAGTGATGCTATACATGTGTTCCAGTTAGGGGGTTGTCCTCCAGCAGAGGTTAGAGTAAGAATACCAACTTTTTCTGTCGTCGATTTCTTCGGGGAACCCTCCCTCGCCCCAAAAAGTTGGGTGACTAAAAGGGCACCTAGCCGGGGGAAAGGTCACAGATCCCATCAACTAACATGGAAGTGCAAAAAGGCCCTTTCCAAGAGGAAAGTAGTCTTTCTACAGGGGTCTGTCCACTTCCATGTTAGCTGGTGGGGAGGGTAAACGATGTCCACCAAGGGTCCCTAAGTAAAATTCACAAATCCCTATGCCCGGAAGGTTGGGCTGGGACACGAACCCTCTGCCCCGGATCCCCAGATCCCTATGCCCCCATGCCTGGCACGCCTATGCCCCGGACCGCTGCCCCATGCCCCGGGCATCCCCTGGCATGCCTTGGGGAAGGAGCCGATGGTCGTCTCGGAGTCTAAGGAGTTCTCGATGTTCCAAGAGCCCTCGTCCTCGTTGCCCAGCACCGTGCCCAGGCACGCGGGGTCGATCTCGAAGGGCTTCCCGAAGCAGCCGCACGCCAGGAGTTTGTTCTGGCAACGAGGAGTTCTTGCGGAGAAGAAAAAAAACGGGCGATGACACTTCCATTTGGTTAGGCCCTGGAAAAACAAAACATATGTCCAGTATATAGTGATAAATGTAGTCTAAAACAAACAAGGGAAGATTAAAACATATTCTTAAGCAAAATGGACGATGAACAAACCCTTTAGACCACGTGGCTGTCCATGGGATAAGCTGCTGGCAGAAACCAGTGGATTTCGGATAGAAGCCAAGAAACCCAGCGACGAGCAAACCAGCGAAGGAAACCAGTCTGGCCGATGAATGGGGCGAAACATGGGAAGACGAAGAAGCCCGCTAGAAACCCCCAGTGGATTTCCCTGGGAATAAGCTTCGTTTTCGGATGGGAATAGCTTTCTGGGCGGGCAAACGGGGCAACTCAGCCTTGTTCAACCATTGTGGGTCAAAAATACGTATTTGCAGTGGTAAGTGGACACATGGACCAAAACCCGCAGCTTTTTGGCGGTTTACTTTTGACCCATACCCTCATGATTTTGACCACTGTTCAAGGAAGCACCGCCTTTCGGGGCCCTTTTAAAGAAACTGCGACCAGGGAGCTGGGGTTCCGCGGCGGATGTGCACCGGTTTTGCGTTCATGTTGCCCCAAATTTTTGGGTGACACGTCGAAGGGGTTCTAAACAAGTGTGTGTTCAAAACCCACCCAAAGGGGAAATTCGGGCTCGTCCGGTTGTGACTTGGACACCGACGGGTGGCGAGGCTTTGTTTTGGGGGGGCCCTCCCTTTTTTGGTCGTGTTGAAGGGAAACCATTGGTCACCAAAGGAAAAGACCCACCATTTCAGGAGCTCCAAATCCTAAAAGATTGTGTGTTGAGGGTTTGGCCAAAAGGCACGCCGAAGCCAGTTTGGGGGGTTTGGGTCCGCCAAAAAAGGGCAGTTAACCTACAACAAATGGGTTGCTTTGGGTACTTTGTACTACATGATTGCCCATGGCAAGGGATCTGCAGAGATTGCCGAATTCTTGAAGGAAGGAATCCTCCAAGGGACCTTGTTGAGGTGGGAATGGTGAGCCAACAGGTGCACTGGTGCGTCTCATGAGTCAGGCCTGCCCTTTTTTCGAGAACCGGCTTTGAGCTTTGGGAACGGGTTCCCAAACTCGAATTGAGATGACAAATGATAGGTCAACCAAAGGGGCAATCAACCAAAGGCCATTCCCACTCATTCCCATTTACCTTCCCATTCCCATTCCCATTCCCGTTCCCCTTCTTATTGCCATGTGCGTTCCCAAACTCCGGCTCGTAGCGTCCTCTCTTGACCTAGCTAAAACAATTGTCACTGATGTACACTCTTGTTGCCTAAAGCGACGTGGGAAAATTGGGGGGCCCCAGTCTTCGCCCTATACCAATCGATGAAGGCCGGCCCCTCGGTTTCATCAACCTGGTGAGTTGGTGGGGGAATGCCTCCCCTAGGTGTGAAGGACACCCCCTGAAAAAGCATTCGTAAATGGGACACAGACACCACGCACGCACGCGCGCGCGCACGCGCACGCGCACGCACACCCACACACCCACACGCCCACACACCCGCACACCCGCACACCCGCACCCCCGCACCCCCGCACCCGCACAGTGCGCACGCCCACGCCCACGCCCACGCGCACATGCACGCGCACGCGCACGCGCTCGCGCACGCACACGCTTACGCACACTCACACACACAGAAGTAAATCAAGCAGGGCTTATTCATCCGGGTCAAAGTCAATGAGAATCCATCCTACTTACAAACGGCCACCCAAAACTGCGCTGGCTTCCCACTTAAATTGGAACACACACACACACACACATCCTTGTACTCGTTTAATTCAGGGGTCAATGTTACCAGACATGACCATGGGTCAAAATCCCGTACCCCCAGTGAACATCCCAATCCCCACTAAAATGGGTGGTGCACCTACCCCAAAATGGTACCATTGGTTTTGACCCACAGCCACATGTTGCTCGGACGCTCATCTCCCGATTCGCCTCCCAGTAGACCATCGTGGCGTTTGCCGCGTGCTTCGGCGCATTGCGGCGGGGGTCCAAGCTGCCACCACCCGACGACGGGGTGCCGTGGTGGCCCTTGGTGTACATTCCTCAGAGCTTCAGAACCAACAACTGTCACTTCTTCCAGGGGCCCCACCATTTTTGTGGGTGTCATCGTGGCCTCCATCTTTCGCCTTCAACCAAAAAGGGGTTCCCAGCAAAAAAAGGAGAAAAACGCACCCAAGAGGTTCTGCAAACGGACCCTAGGCTCACATCTGTTAGAACCCAGCAGGGTCGTCCAAGAGAGCTCGGAGACCAAAAGAACAATGGCAGCAGTTCACGCTCTTCCTAGACCAAGGTTTTTCGTTTCCCAAAACCAAGAGAACGTCTCCAGAGCTAGGGTGTCACTCCCACTAACGTACAGGTCCCTCCAAGAGGAAAATGATCTCCCAGGACCACTCCCACAGGTACCGCTCTCTTCGTGGGAGAGAGACCTAAGTCCTTTTGAAAGCTGGTCGGCACGCCGAGGCGCCCTTGGAGAACTGGTCCCGCAGCAGGCCTTGCGTCTGCACCAGCCGGTGCCGCACGCACACCTCTCCAAGTCTTGGTCGGGATTTGTTTTATTCATTTTTCGGGGGTGCAGGTCATTCTTGTCCGTCTGGGAAAGTGGGTCTGAGTTTTAAAAAGGGACCCTTCGGCCCTTCGGTGGACATCATTTAGGTGGGGATCCATGTCCACCGACCACTTTGGAGGGGGGGCCCTATGAAAATTCATAGCCAAATGGATGACCCTGACCAGGTCAACCAGGGCCATCTATTTTCTAAACAGCCAAGAAGGACACCTATGGTACGGTACGTTTGTGGGGTTGGTTTAAAGGGAATCCGAGAAGAAGAAACATAATCTTTTCGGGGGTTCCCCTGGAGCTGAATGGCGCGAGCTGAAATGGGCTCAAGTCATCATACAGCAATCTCAGTTTTCTGATGGCCAGTCAAGTTTGCACCATGCAGCTGCGAACAAGTATTTATTTTGTGCACTGATGGCCTATCAGATTTGATACTCGTAGCCCTACTGACATCTTCCCCAAGCCAGAACATACATCCTCCTATCATCGCTTCATAAAACTGTCACCGGAACTATGAATCGCCTCTTCAACATCCTAGCTCAAGCAATTCCAGTAATTACATGAAATCGGGCAAGCTGAGGACGATCAAAAAGATGCCTTTTACGCGCACCTTCTTCTCCTCCGGGTCGAAGGTCATAGCCAGCATCAGCCCATCGCCATCCATCTCGTGCACCACGGTGTCCTCGCCGGCCTGGAACTTCCCCGGGCCGTTCCTGAAATACGTCCCTTTCAAATCCTCCGGAAGCTCGCAGTCTACAAAGTAAAAGCCCTGCTCAAGGTCCTCGGGCTCCAAGAAGCCCTGCCGCCACGCCTCAGGACGCAAAACAAATAAGCTCAGGCGATATCCCCCAACAGCGACGGTGCAATCGGGGCCCGATCGGGGCCCGATGGTCTGGTGCAACCCCAGCCACCCATATTATAGCTCAACGCCGGTTTTCCTTAGGATGCGGCCTGAAAACTGTATCTAGCAAAACTAGGCGATGCCAGCTTGGTGCAGTTGACGGGGCCCGACTGAGTCGGGCCCCGATCGGGGCGCGATGGCGCAAACCCTCGTGGAACCTTACCTCAACCATGGACCACCCCGCAGCCCTCGCAGAACCTGGTGGAACGAACCCTGGTGGAGCCCTCGTGGAACCTTACCTCAAAACCACCCCGGACCACCCCACAGCCCTCGCAGAACCCGGTGGAACCCTGGTGGAACCCTGGTGGAACCTTGGTGGAACCCTGGTGGAACCTGGTGGAACCCTGGTGGAACCTTACCTCACCCTTGCCCCGGACCACCGCGGAGCCTATGTGGGCTGAGACCCCAAAGCTTTCAGCTGTTGGGAAAAAACAAAACGCGGCGCGAGAGTTGTTGAAACCAGGCATGAAGCAACTTCCTTTTATTCTTTGTGGTGACGCCAAGTTCCCAAACCCACCAAACCACCGGGCTCCAAAGCACCAGTTAGAGGGCAGCTGAAGGGATTGCTTCAGCCATTTCCGCGCCTCGGCGCTGAAGGCCCTGGCAGCTCTGCCCCGCGCGGCTGGCGCCTTGCGGCGCCGCGTTCCCACCGCGGCCGCCGTCAGCGCCGCCACCGGCACGAGGCGCGCGCCGTGCGCCGCGGTGCCGAAGCCTTCGCCGCCGCGGCGCCGAAGGGCTGGGGCCATGCCGGCGGCATCCGCAGCCGCCGGCGCGTTGGGGGTGAGGGGCGGCCGCCATGCCAAGTCCATGGCTGAGGGGTTAATCCAAGCAACAAAGAAGCGCTTGCAAGGTGGTTTTTGCGCATGTGCCAAGAATGGGACTTGCATGAATCACCGGTGTTGCCATGTCTCTCCGGACCAAGCTACAAATGGCAGAATGGCGCTTGCACACTAAGCTCCACCGCGCTTGGTCATGTCCCGCACCCTTGGCCATATCCGCCGTTGGCTCAGTGCCACACCTGAGGACTGCTTCTTCTCGCCTCCTCCTTTCTCCATCTCCCCCAACCTGCGCGACCACTCTCATTCCAAGCTGAAATGGGGACGGGTCCAGAAAAATGACGGACCCTGGATGTTCAACCAGCCCAAAGCTAGCCATCCGAAATTCCAAACTCTTTGGACTAGATAAACTCCCTGCTGAAAAACGTCTGTGGCCAAATCCCGACAAACACAAATGGAGAAAAGCCAAGTGGAGATAAAGCCACGTGGTTCAAAAAGCCAAATGGAGGAGAACAAAATGAAGAAAGACCACACGGACATGGAAAAAAAAACAAGGGCATGGGTCAAAAGCAAGTACCCCCAGTGAACATCCCAATCCCGACTAAAATAGGTTCTAAAATGGGTGGTGACCTACCAACCAAAATGGGATCCCAAAACGGTTTTGACAACCACGGCCACAAAACTCCTTGGAACGGGTCATGGAAAGGACCCAAATGGAGAAAGACCACACGGACATGGAAAAAAGAACAAGGCCATGGGTCAAAAGCCCGTACCCCCAGTGAACATCGCAAACCCCAACTAAAATAGGTTCTAAAATGGGTGGTGAATTCACCTACCAACCAAAATGGGATCCCAAAACGGTGTTGACAACCACGGCCACAAAAATCCTTGGAACTGCCCATGGAAAGGACCCCAAATGGAGAAAGACCACACGGACATGGAAAAAAGAACAAGGCCATGGGTCAAAAGCCCGTACCCCCAGTGAACATCGCAAACCCCAACTAAAATAGGTTCTAAAATGGGTGGTGAATTCACCTACCAACCAAAATGGGATCCCAAAACGGTTTTGACAACCACGGCCACAAAAATCCTTGGAACTGTGCATGGAAAGGACCCCAAATGGAGAAAGACCACACGGACATGGAAAACAAACAAGGCCATGGGTCAAAAGCCTATACCCCCGAGTGAACATCCCAATCCCCACTAAAATAGGTTCTAAAATTGGTGGTGAATTCACCTACCAACCAAAATGGGATCCCAAAACGGTGTTGACAACCACGGCCACAAAAATCCTTGGAACTGCCCATGGAAAGGACGCCAAATGGAGAAAGACCACACGGACATGGAAAAAAGAACAAGGCCATGGGTCAAAAGCCCGTACCCCCAGTGAACATCCCAATCCCAACTAAAATAGGTTCTAAAATGGGTGGTGAATTCACCTACCAACCAAAATGGGATCCCAAAACGGTGTTGACAACCACGGCCACAAACATCCTTGGAACTGCCCATGCAAGGGACCCCAAATGGAGAAAAACCACACGGGCATGGAAAAAAAAGCAAGGCCATGGGTCAAAGCCCGTACCCCCAGTGAACATCCCAATCCCCACTAAAATAGGTTCTAAAATGGGTGGTGACTTCACCTGCCAACCAAAATGGGATCCCCAAACGATTTTGACAGGCCACAAAAATCCTTGGAACTGCCCATGGAAAGGACCCCAAATGGAGAAAGACCACGGACATGGAAAAAACAAATAAGGCCATGGGTCAAAAGCCCGTACCCCCGAGTGAACATCCCAATCCCCACTAAAATAGATTGTAACATGGGTGGTGAATTCACCTACCAACCAAAATGGGATCCCAAAACGGTGTTGACAACCACGGCCACAAAAATCCTTGGAACTGCCCATGGAAAGGACCCCAAATGGAGAAAGACCACACGGACATGGAAAAAAGAACAAGGCCATGGGTCAAAAGCCCGTACCCCCAGTGAACATCCCAATCCCAACTGAAATAGGTTCTAAAATTGGTGGTGAATTCACCTACCAACCAAAATGGGATCCCAAAACGGTGTTGACAACCACGGCCACACAAATCCTTGGAACTGCCCATGGAAAGGACCCCCAAATGGAGAAAGACCACACGGACATGGAAAAAAAAACAAGGCCATGGGTCAAAAGCCCGTACCCCCAGTGAACATCCCAATCCTCACTAAAATAGGTTCTAAAATGGGTGGTGAATTCACCTACCAACCAAAATGGGATCCCAAAACGGTGTTGACAACCACGGCCACAAAAATCCTTGGAACTGCCCATGGAAAGGACCCCCAAATGGAGAAAGACCACACGGACATGGAAAAAACAAATAAGGCCATGGGTCAAAAGCCCGTACCCCCCAGTGAACATCCCAATCCCCACTAAAATAGATTGTAACATGGGTGGTGAATTCACCTACCAACCAAAATGGGATCCCAAAACGGTGTTGACAACCACGGCCACACAAATCCTTGGAACTGCCCATGGAAAGGACCCCAAATGGAGAAAGACCACACGGACATGGAAAAAAGAACAAGGCCATGGGTCAAAAGCCCGTACCCCCAGTGAACATCCCAATCCCAACTAAAATAGGTTCTAAAATGGGTGGTGAATTCACCTACCAACCAAAATGGGATCTCAAAACGGTTTTGACAACCACGGCCACACAAATCCTTGGAACTGCCCATGGAAAGGACCCCCAAATGGAGAAAGACCACACGGACATGGAAAAAACAAATAAGGCCATGGGTCAAAAGCCCGTACCCCCGAGTGAACATCCCAATCCCCACTAAAATAAATTGTACAATGGGTGGTGAATTCACCTACCAACCAAAATGGGATCCCAAAACAGTGTTGACAACCACGGCCACAAAAATCCTTGGAACTGCCCATGGAAAGGATCCCCCAAATGGAGAAAGACCACACGGACATGGAAACACAAAAGCAAGGCCATGGGTCAAACGTACCCGCAGTGAACATCCCAATCCCCACTAAAATAGGTTCTAAAATTGGTGGTGACTTCACCTACCAACCAACATGGGATCAGCCACAGCCACAAAAATCCTTGGAACTGCCCATGGAAAGGACCCCAAATGGAGAAAAACCAAACGGAAATGGGAAAAAAAAAACAAGGCCATGGGTCAAAAGCCCGTACCCCCATTGAACATCCCAATCCTCACTAAAATAGGGTCAAAATTGGGTGGTGAGTTCACCTACCAACCAAAATGGGATCCCAAAACGGTTGTGACAACCACAGCCACACAAATCCTTGGAACTGCCCATGGAAAGGACCCGAAATGTGAACAAACACATTTGTTTGAACTGCCCATGGAAATCACTCGAATTCCAAAGACCAAATGGAAAAAAACAACAAACAAATTGTTCGAAGAGACCAAGGTCCTAGGCCCTCGAAGGCCCGCGAAGGCCCTCGAAGGCGCTCGGGGCCCCCGCTGCGAAGCCATCTCCAAGTACTGCTGGGACCTGGGACTGCATTCATAGAAACCAGCCTAGCCAAATACCCACCAAAATCAGTTGGTTTCTTGGATGCATGCTGAAAACACACATGGGACAAATCGATGGCTTGATCTGGGCTTACATGTAGATGGTTCATTGGAAAATATAAGCATGTATGCCTGCATGTCTACGTATGTACGTATGTGTTTTTTCTTTTAAGTATATACGTATATCTCTATTGATATGTGTAAATATATATACTCCGGTTCCGAAAGATAGAACTCCTACGATTTTCCAAAAATACGGTTTTCGGAAGATAGAACAGCCGACACATGTGATCCTATTGTTTGTCTCTAAAAAATGGTTTCTAAATGGTAATATGCAGGTGTGTCAAAGATAGAACATGCACCAACCGGTCTGACTCAAAACGTACGTCCGTACGCGAACCCATTAAACAAACTACTACGGTTGGCAGGGCTCTCAAAGATAGAATATGGGCAACCATGGATACATAATGTGTTTATGGTCGATATTCCCCCAAGCAAACTCTTGGGGCAGATCAACCCATAGCATAGTATTTGGGTCGATACATGATCAAACTACTTGACGGACGCACTTGCTGTGGCATATTCTATCTTTCAGAAGCCTGGAGTTTGTCATGGATCGGAAGGGCGCTAACGATGTACCACAGAGAGCCATTGGCAGCCAGCATGGTGTAAGCTTTGTGTCGGTGTTCAACTCGAAGCAACGCATATATAGCCGAGACCAGCCACGATACGTTCCCAAGAAAATTGTTTGGGGACATATCAAAAACAAACAAAGTATTTGGGACGATTCATGATCAAACTATATACTCGGCAGACGCCCTTGATGTGCCATGTTCTGTCTTTGGGAAGCCTGGAGTTTACCATCGGTTTAAAGGGGGCTAACGATGTAAATATATGTATATAGCACAAACCCTCATTTGATGCAGCTTTGTGTCGTTGATCAACCCGAAGCAAATCACAGATCGCTGAGGCCCGTCACGATATGTTCCCAAGCAAATTGTTTGGGGACAACTCATATATACAAGGCTGAGGCCCGTCACTATACGTCCACAAGCCAACTATTTGGGGGCATACCAAAATGACGCAAAGTCTTTGGCGGATAACATGATCAAACTACTGGCAACATGCTGTGGCTTGGCCATGTTCTATCTTTCAAAGTCTGAAATCTGCCGTCGATTTGAAGGGCGCTAACTTTGGCATTTGCTGCCAACATGTTGGAAGCTTGTGTCCGTGATCAACCCGAAGCAACGCACACATATATACATATATATATATATATGTATATAACGCCGAGGCTCGTCACGCTATGCCCCCCCAAGCCAACCATGCGGGGCATATCGAAACGACATATATAAAGTCTTTGGGTCGCATGATCAAACCACTCGACAGATGCTCTTGCTGGGTCATATTCTATCTTTGGGAACCCTGGTACGCGCCATCGATTTGAACAATGTACCCCAAAGCGTCACTTGCTGTCAACATGCCATACAAAATCCCGATGGCTGGGTTCCAGCTGGTTTC